TTTATGCTTGCAAACCCTCTCCTCTCCCTGGATGCAGCACAGCGATGCAGGAGCAATCCATGTGGAAGTTCTGAATGGTGCTTGCGGCTCGTCCTCCCTCTCAGAAGTATGAAGGGTGGCTGGAATGAAGTAACTCTAGCCAGGATTTTCCAATGAAAAATTGTAGTTTCTGTAAAATAGCAAGTTCCCACGAGAACATTTCAATTTTGCCAAATATTCTGGTTTTCCATTGGGAAACTTCAAGGGAATGTTTGGGTTTTGGATACTGTGCAGAGAAGGTGACAGGGTCCTCTGGATCTTGACCCAGTTTTTGCACTTGCTAATGCCACAACGTAAATGTGGAGTAAATATGAAGTTATCTTAACCTGAGCACGGCTTGGCTTTCAGGAGGCAGGCAGGAATGGACATCCTGGAGGAGCTGACAGTTTGTACTGAATAAGCCAGGAATACAGCAAACAGAGTGGGTAGAAGGAACTCTGTTTGACAGCGGTCTCATTCGCTGCTCAGCCTAGGATATCAGTGAATGGGGCAGGGGCCCTGGGGAAAAAAAGCATGCAGATGTATACTCCAGGGGAACATGTAATTAAAGACTGCGTCATAATGAACAAGCAAGTCAGAGTTAAGGTTCCAGGGATAGCCTTTATTCTGGCATTTCTTGACATTTTTGCATGCTTTGCAACTTTAGCATTCCTTTAACACCACTGGGCACATGGAATTTAGATTGGACTGGATGAGGTAGATTTTGGCAATACATTTATAGCTAGGGTCAGGTTAGTTTTAAACTTGACCAGAACTAGGGCTGAATGAGTGGGAACGGAGAAACTAGTGGCTTGGATACAGTTAGATCTTAAATGTAAATTAGGACCTTTAATACAGTTTTTAAGTCCATTAGTCACAGAGAGGCATAGGGGATTTATTGAATGTGTCCAGGTTGGCTGTAGAACTGGCTGTTTCCAATGGCTGTGCCTACCTCAGCACTATTCCCTTTGGCTAGCAATAGTCCTCTGTGATGGATCCTCTCTGCTTCCCTCTTTAGTGAGGGTTGAAAGGCCTGTTTAGTTAGAATAGATAGGACCAAACCATTGTTGGCTTGGTAAGAAAAGATGCAGCTGACACCTGAGATTACTAAATTCTGCCTTGGAGATGGGCAGATAGAGTGGCATTGCTTGAGTCCTTCCCAAGCTTCTGGCTGTGTCCCAAATTGCTGATCCTGTGTCTCCTGAGCTGACCACCAGGAACTACTGGAAATTGGAGTGTGGTTGGGTACTAGTAACTTCCACTCCAGTGCACTGGAGCCTGGCTCCAAGACCAGCTCTCATGGCTTATCTCACTGTAGATATCCACACAGGGTAGTAGAGACTGAGCTCAGATAAGTCCCTGCTCCTGGGGAGTGCCAGCTTGATTCCATGAAGGCCACTTAGAATAACATACTCCCCTTCCTTCATTGCCATAAACACCCCGTGCGCTGCCATCACACTCGCATCTGTTCTTCATCCGTCACAACCTGTCCTTTCAACTCCCACCTCTCACTGGAGTGTTTAGTGGTAGAAGAATGACAATAAAACCCCAGGGAACAGGTCACGGTCTCCCTGTGCTGGGACCAGCAGTATCAGCATGGCAGTGTGGGAACATGAGCTCAGCTCCCCTTTGATCTGCTACCCCTCACTTCACTCTCTCATACCCTCCCTGCCAGGCCTTTCCCAGCCTTCCCCACACCTAACTCTCTTTTTATTTTGTCTTCACTTCCCGTTTTTATCTTTCTTATTGTTTCTTCTGCCCTTCATACCTCAGAGGGCCACATGTGCATAGATCATACATGTACTGAGAATCACCCTGGGCACTGTTTTACCTTGTCACTGACAATATGCCTTCTTCCTCTGTTTTTAACCTGGAGAAATTAAGAAAGAGCAAGTGACTGGACATTTCACTCCAGTGCCAGCAATGCCTCTGTCTTGCTGTGACATTATTGGGCCAGGGAAGCAGAACAAGAAAGAAGGTACCCATCAAGATTTCACACATGCTGGTTCAATAGGGGAATGGGAATGCATTTGAGGTCAAAAGGAGGGATTTCAAGGCACCACTTCTGTGAGTCCACTGGGCCTCCTGAGATTCTCGTGAACAGCTGGGGTTGCGCTATAGCAACACGTGCACATACTGTTCTGAGTCGTGTCTCGTGGCGGTTCTAACTGTAGTACAGTTCTAACAGGGGTACTAACTGGTACCCCTGCCTCCCAGCACCTGGCTGCTTTGAAATTCGAAATGTTTTGAAACTTTCGAAATGTTTTGACTGCCCTCGTTTCGTTTCAAAGCTGTTTTGAAGCCCTTCATTTAGTTTCAATTTCACTGTTCCAAGCTCAAAATGAGTTGAAACAGAGTCAAAACGAAAAGCTTCACACAGCCCTACTGGCAAGGTCCTCAGCAGCAGATTGGGTGTATCTTGTGTGAAGACGGGATTGTTTGTGGCAAATCACAAGTCCCCTGCTTTTCCTTGTAAAGAATAAATTCCGGTGTTGTTACACTACACCAGAGGCTCTGTGTTTCTGATCTCCACAAGGCTCGTTTCTTCTCCAAGTATGCAAAAGGATTGCATTATGTTCCTAGAGAGCCCACACCAGGCAGTGACAGAACATACCAGGGCCTCCTGTTTCACTTCATCTCATAGCTGCAGCAGCACAAGGACAAGGAGGTCCCATCCTGACTGCAATAAATACACTGCTGGGGAAGTTATAGAATCCCCTATGTCGAAGGTTTTTAAGAGGAGGCTGGATAAGCATTTGATAGGAGTAGTGTAGGAATAACTTTTCTGCATGTATTCAGGGGGGTGGACCAGATGACCCTTGAGAGGGCTACGGGACCTTAACCTGTTCAGCCTCTGCAAGAGAAGGCTGAGGGGGGACCTGGTGGCCATCTATAAACTCACTAGGGGGGACCAGCAGGGGTTGGGAGACCCTGTTCCCCCTAGTGCCCCCCGGGGTAACAAGGAATAACGGCCACAAATTTTTAGAGAGTAGGTTCAGACTAGACATTAGAAGGCACTACTTCACAGTCAGGGCGGCTAGGATCTGGAACTAACTTCCAAGGGAAGTGGTGATGGCTCCTACCCTGGGGGCCTTTAAGAGGAGGCTTGACGTCTACATGGCTGGAGTCATTTGAGCCCGGTTTTCTCGCCTGCCCAGGGCAGGGAGTTAGACTTGATGCTCTACAAGGTCCCTTCCAACCCTACTTCTATGAACCTATGAGGTCCTTCCCAACCCTGTGATTCTATGAATTGGAGTGCAGGGCAGGGTCATTTGCTTTATTATGAGTTGTGCATGAACCCTGGGAGTATAAGTGAGAAGGCATGTTCAGTGTGGTCCTCTTTCGTAGAATCATAGAAAGGAGGACCGGAAGGGACCTGTAAGATCATCAAGATCATTCCCATGCCCTGGTCTATCTTTGTGCCTAGAGGAGTCTCTCTGTCCAGACCTGAGATCTCAGTGAACAGCAGTCTCATTCACACTCCATCTTGAACATCAGTGACTTTCCTTGATCAGTTCACACCCAATCATTACTAGGCAGTAGATGCCCTGTGTGTGTCTAAGGGAGTAGGGGACTGTAGTAGAGGACTCTTCAAGGTGCTGAAAAGTAAAGACATTCTTTTGCCCTGCCATGCAGACAACTTCTCTTGAATTCATCCCTTGAATTGTTTTTGGAACCGCTATGCTGTGGATTGGCCACTGTGTTGATGGTATCAGTCATACTACAGCACTTAAGTGGGACAGCCACATGAAGATGGGTATCTGCCACCTCTTCAAGGCAGATCTTTTCCTGGCAAGGGAGAGCAAAGTTTGCCAGTGCTCTGGTTCTTCTAAGAGGGCTGCAAAAGTTAAGATCAGTAGCATCCTTCCTATGTAAGAGTGACTAGGATGGGTGTCCTGTGTGTGCATGAAGATGAATACGTGTTCATGGGCTTCCTGTCTATGTGTACATCTAGGATTGTGCCGTGTGCGGAATGCATTCTTTCACTGGGCACATGGGATCAGTGTAGGACTGACGGCAGTGGCTGTCTGGTAACTCCTGTCTCCATTTTCCTGGCTTCCCAAGGGCCCTCCACAGCTCGCTCCTAGCTCTCGAAGAGAGTTCACTTCCCAGCAGCCCCTGGGATATTCCCATGCCCTGCTCTGTCTACCGAGGAGAGTGCTGTCCCTGACATGCTGACAGACTCATTATAAGACTTATCTTCAAGACTTTATCAGCAGTAAATTCCCATCCTGTCCTCAACTCCCGGGTGTCGACAGCTCCTTCCAGTCCTTAGTGACCCGCCCCTCTCTCTGCGCTCTCTACTGGACATTAAACTGACAATTGGTGAACCACAGACAAAATGGGCTCAGTTGTAACAAACACCCCCTTACCGGTGTTTTTCTGGGCTCCAAATTTGGGCTGGCCATGCTGGAGATTGGCTATGTTCATGGTATACAGATGCTTCCAGGCCTGGCCAGAGCTGGACCCAGTCTTGTGTCTCAAATTTAATTGGAGCTCTGGACTGAAGTTCAGATCACTTCTTACCTTATCCAGTTCCCCTGCTGTAAAAGAATCCAAGGAATTGGAGTCTTCAGCTGCAGTGCAACAATGGCCAACAACAACAACAATGGCAGCATACAGGAGCCCTAGCATAGGTAGAAGCAGCCGCTGGCACAGATCCCCAGTGTTGGGGGCCTTTGTGGCTTTTGAAGAGCTGGGGCTAGCACTCTACTCTGGTCCCTTTACCAGTCCCAAGCATAGGAGGAAAACTGAAGTGCATTACAGTCTGGCTAATCTCCATCCTTTGCAGTCCTATGGGAAGTGGAGTGAAGGTCAGAGCAACCCTGAAGCTGTTTCACTTGTTGATAATGGCACTTCCCATGAGCAAGGTGGCATAGGGCTGATGTTGCAGAGAGGTTGGAGGGGGATTTGCACCCAGTTTCACCATGTGTTGGAGCTTTGCTAATAGACCCTCCTGACTGCTTGTTTCATGTCTTTAGATCTCTTGGCTGCTAACCGATCAAGTGTGTTCTTTGGCCACCGGGGGTTCCTGGATTTCCGCTCCCTGTACCTGGATGAATACCGTGATCGGCTCTTCATTGGTGGAAAAGATGCACTGTACTCCCTGCGCCTGGATCAGAGCAGCACAGATGCCAAGGAGGTAATGCTGTGTCCCTCATCACAGATGTGAGCACAAGCAAGGTTGCAGGCACACACATTCTCCTCCTGATACAGCACCCACAGTGTACACTGCACCAGTCTGGGCTGGGGTTTAGTGCGGGGTGTAGGAGCCAGTGGCTGGAATACCAAAGGGGCATGGATCAAGACTGATCTGCACTGGCCAATCTCTGAGGAGGCCCTAGAGCCAGAATAGTTGTGTGTGGAAGGTTGTGGGTTAGGAAACATGAGCTAGGTGTGTGGGGACCCAGGGTAGGAGTGTTGCTGGTCACGGCTGGGGTGCGTCAGCAAACTATCTGGGGACTCGGAGCTAGAAGAGGAGGTGGACTGCAGGTTGGCACTGAGGCATAGGCAGCAACCACCACACTACCTAGGGGATGCCATCACAAATGAAGCCCGCCAGGAGGCCATCACACATAGCAAAACAGCCCTGTCTCAGAACTGACTTGCTCCTGAGCCTCATCCAGCCTTGTGTTGTTCTTGACAACTGTGTTGACTTGAGACCTCCTAGCCTTAAGTGTGACTTTTGCCACTTCTGCCAGGGGCTGTCTTCCCACTGGAGCTTTTCCCACAGAGGAGCTGTAACCTGAGATGGACAGGAGGCCCCAGTCACTGAGAAGCCATGGGGACCTTCCATGAGTCTGAGACCTTGGGCCAGAAACACGACACCAGTTGGAAATTGGGGGCACGCAAGGCGAGGCTTCCACCCTGGAGGGGATTAGACTGCAATTAAGTGTAATCAGCAGCACGGAAGGACAGGCCGTGTGGCCAGACTGTGAACAATTAATGAAGCCCTTGGGAAGACTCAGCCCCTGAGATTCTTGAGTCAAATGTCAAGCCAGCAAAGTCAATGACAGAAAACAAGCAAGCAGGGAGGGTGAAGGAAGGTGCTGCTGAGATGCTGGGGAGGGGAAGGGGGGACCAAGCCCCGCTGAGCCACTGGGCATTTTACGTTAGAATTCAGCGAGGCTTGGATCCCAGCCCAGACACCGTCCAGCACGTACAGCCAGATCCCACCGCTGCGGCGTTGCAGCTGCTCCCACGTTGTGCCTGGGTTTTGGTGGTGGGCTTTGCCAGCACCGTGCACCTTTCCCGTTTTCTGTTCCTGCTGGTTTTATGCTGGGTCCAGTAGTGGGTTTTGGGATGGGATTTTCCCAGGTGCTCTACCTTGCCTGAGCCTGCTCCAGAGTCCCACTGCCACTGGTATCACTGGGATCAGAGACAGACCAATGCTGAAGGTACAGTAGGTTGCTGACTGGTTAATTCTCCAGCCCTTCTGCTCTGAGTGCATGCCCAGCCCTTGGGTGCTGCCAGCTTCCCTGCAGGTGGGTGACTTTTAGCCCCAGTTTGAAGTTCCCCTGGTGTTACGATCTTCTCACTGCCCCTTCCCCTGGCTTTTGTGGTGCTGCTTTGTTTGCTGATGTGTGGCCTGTTGGCTGAAATCCCCCTCAGCCCTGAGTGTAAGGGTTTCTTGGCTGTACTTTTTAGGCTGACTACAGTGTCCCTCAGCCTACTTCCAGCTCTCCTCCAGATCAGATCCTGGGCCATGCCTACCACAGTCTTTGCCCTCCCCTCAGCCCTTGCTCTCTCTCCTAAAGACCTTCTGGCAGGAGGGTTACAAAGCCTGTCTCCAGGTCCACCTCTGCCCAGATTTTCTCCTCTGGATGGGGAAAAGCTGAAGAAATGCTCCCCATCACTCAAAGTAGAAGCTCCTGTCCCTACTCCCCCTAAGAAAGAGGGGGAGGGAGGGTCCCTGAGGTGAGCTGGTGTAATTGGATCTCATTTCCTCCTCTTCCTGTGAGCCGGGGGCTGACAAGAATTGAATTATGAGCTGTAGGCGTCTGCCATTGGCAGCTCAGCTACGTTCACTGTTTTCAACTGTGTTATTAGAACAAATAAATAGCCACTACCTTATCGCATTGACTCCCTTTAGGTTAAGTGGGCAAAGGTATTTTTAGAAGAAAGCAGGATTGTTTTAACAGCCCAGAGGCTGTTGTCCCTGCTAATAGGCATAAAATAATGCTGATAATTGAGCCTCCTACTCCCACCACTGTAGGAGTCCCACCTGATATATTCTGATCCTCTCCTTTCTCAGCCAATATGAGGATTCAGCTCCAATTTGCTGCCTTGTGTGTTGGGAATGTGGAGAACTCCAGTCTGGCTCAAGGGCCTCAAAAGTGGTGGGCAGAAGGGCACAGAAGGGAGAGGGTTCCCACCAGAGTTTCACCAATGGACCTGTTCTCCATGAATTCGTCATTCATATTCAAGTGGACTTAATTCACTTTAACCTTTCAGAATGAATTAAGCTAATGTTCTGAATGAGACCAGCTATACGGGAGCATAAAATGATTCATTTTTAATGCTGTTAGCTGACCCCCCTGCACCAGCTCAAGCCCAGATGTAAGGGAAAGATATGGCAGAGGTAAAGTAATCACTGTGCTGGGACATAGTCCATCCTGCCATGCACTGTGTGGCTTCCAGTGAAGAGGTGCGAGGCCTGAATTTCCTGACAGGCAGGTCTCACCCCCTCTCTGGGGCCTGCTCTGGGGAGTATCTGAGTTTGGGCGATGCCTGCAAACATCCACTACATTGAATTACATGGTGGATTTTAGGATTTAAGCCTATGGGGTACATGTACTCCTGGCCCAGCTCAGAAACACATCTGAGCTCTCAAGGGCTGGCAGTGGTGAGAGGAACATGAGCTGACATCTCAATCCCCAACCTGCTGCTTCTCCTCTCAGACAGGAGATGAGAGGGAGGGGGGCTAGCTCAGACCAGAGACAGAGCAGTCAGAGCCCATATCTCTATGTTGAAATGGCTTGTGACTTGGCTTGGTAACTAGGCTTCCTAGTCCTTGGGTTTTGGGAGGGAAAGGAATCAGAACCAACAGCTGCCTCTGCTTTCTGTTTGCCCTGCAGACAGCATCCACAGCAGCTTGGAAACACTGTTAGGCTAACATGAGAAGCAGACCAGCCCCCACGGCTTTGTCTCAGTGACATTTTCAGCAGAGGCGAGGGGAGAAGGGAAATTAAAAGTCTCTCCCATGTGATGGGTCACTGGGAAGAGGTCGAGGGCTTGTGTACCCAGCCTGCCCTCAATATGAGAGTGGCAGAGGCACCACAGAGGGCTTCAGCAGGCCCGGCAGGGGAGAACACCAATGTGGGGCTTTGTCAGCTAATATACTCTCTCACAGGCATGCATCAGTATCGCATGCTTGCGCACGTGCACATGGACACTTATTTATACATGCACACCAGCAGGCCAACCGCAAAATCTCCCTTTCTCTGTCACATACACAAACTTCAACACATGCACAGTTATCCATATACAGCAGCATACCACCCAGAAATGCTTGCATACCGACATGCTCTTACTCATTCATGCACTTACACAACATACTGCTTCCCTACCCATGCACTTACAGCCTACATACATGTAGGCACCCATGTAGAGTGAAAGCATTCATGCTCTTTCTGGCATGCCCTAGACATACACACTCAGAGGCACTCACAGCATGCACACAGACTCATTCAAATGCATCCAGTCCTTTGTACCATCCCTGTACTTCTTAATCTCTCTCTCTCTCTCACACACACACACACACACACACACACACACACACACCCCCTCATATGTGCTGCATACATTCACTCATCTCCCTCAATGCTCACACATCACACACAAACCCAGCTCAGACACACACAGGTTAAGTACACACACACTTCAGCTGCAAACTTTAGCCTGTAGCTCAGATTGGTCCTTTACAAACAGGCAATACAGAATTACAGTACGAAGGTGGGGCTAGCAGATTACGACTCCTGGGTTCTATTTCTGACTCTGTTACTGACTTGTTCCATAGCTTTAGATAAGATATTTCACCTGTCTGGCCCTCAGTTTCTGCATTATAAAATGGAGGTGATGAAATCCTTCTTTCCCCTTTTGGATAGAAAGCGCTGTATAAATGAAACATGCTGTTGTTTCAATATGGCATTGGCAATGAAACTGCAAACCAGGCAGGGGTTTGCCATAGTTTATCTCAGAACAGTTTATGGGGAGTGGACTGGGCTGGGATCAGGACTCATGGGTTCTGTTCCAAGCTCTGCCACAGTCATTATGGATGATTTGGGGTAAATCACAGCCTCACCTTGTGCCTCTGTTTCCCCACCTGTAGAGCAGGGAACAGTGCCACTCACTGATCTTCACAATGTACTTTGACATCTGGAGTGGAAGAATCAAGCATTGGTTTACTCCCCTGGCTTTGCTCCTTACAGCCCTTTCCCAAAGACGGTTTCCAGGCTGATCATTCCATCTCAGCTCAGCGGTTGTCTTTGCCAGCAGTAATTTTAGCTTTATTTAGACAAACAGTGAGATGATAAAACATGCTGTTTGTATGAAGCTCCAGAGCAGTGGCCTTGAGGGTGTGAGACCACACAGGAGAACTTGGAAACTCCAAGAGATCTGCATGTTCCACAGATCTACATCCAAGAGATCTGCAGCCTATAAGTATATGAGGGGTGTGCATCAGGAACTGGGAGAACATCTGTTTTCTAGGGTCACAAATTGCTGGAAGACCATTTTAGACTGGTGTCACAGGGTACCAAGGGGTGCCTGCTCCTTGGAGAGCAGAAGTTGCCTAGTCCAAGGAGCCAGGCAGAGCTCCATAGCTGCAGGTTGCCATGGAAACAAGCTAAAGGGGAACTAGCCTGCACCCGCACCTGCACCCGGTCAGCTGACTGAAAGGAGGCAGAGCCCGGGGCACATGTAAGCCCCAGAGCAGGACTGGCAGGAATTAGTTCTCTGGCAGCAGCCAGGGGAAGGAGCTCCTGCAAGGAAAAACAACCCAGAGATGCTGTGGCTGCTTGACATGTGGCTTATATAGCTAATGAGGTCTCCAGGAGCCCATAAGGTACTCAGAGCTGGGAGGCACTCTAGGCTGAGGGGGAAGCTTGACTCTTAAAGAGACAGAATATGACTTCCAGTGCCATTGTGATTGTTATTGTTATGTTGTAGCTCAGGGGCTTATATTTATGTTGTTATTTCTACTGGTGGACCAGGCTGAGGCAACTGGGGAGGAGGAGGCCTCATTGGGGCAAATTACAGTGTAGAGCCCCAGCGCCAGCAAGGGTGCAGAGACAGGGCTGCAGAGAGCCCAGCAATAACAGGAAGCCAAGTTAGGCCAAGACCTCATTACAGAGACAACATCGATATGCCATCTGCGAGGCATGGGATGTGGTAAAAAGATGGTGTTGGAGCCATGCATCTAGCCCATAGGGCTTAGGGTATCCTGTGAGTCACCCACCAACAGTGGAGCCCATCAAGGGGTCCAATGACCGTCAGGGTTTAGGGGGATCCATCAAGACCATGACTGAGCTGTAACTTGAGGGTAGCCTCCTTATTTATTATTTATACCAGCAAGACGTGGCAGACGAGACTAGAAGGCACCTGTAAGGTGGAGCCAGCGTGGTCGCAAAACCACAGGGACATCATCCCTGGGGACCCCGCATCATGACACTGGAAGAAGGAAAAACTTTTTACCATCCAAGTCTCCAGAGTCTGGAATAAACTCCCCCCAGAATTGATGTAAGCACCTACTCTGGATACCTTTAAGAAACGCTTGGATGCTTATCTTGCTGGGGTGATCAGACCCCAGCTGACTTCCTGCCCCTTGGGCAGGGGGCTGGACCCAATGATCTCAGGAGGTCTCTTCCAGCCCTAATGTCTATGAAATCTATATTTAGAAAAATACTCTGTGTAGCATTTATCCGGAATTTTCTGCCTGACAGCATCAATGAGGTCAGTGTAAAGCAAATGGACACATCCCTCAGTGGCTAGGGTAAATATCTGCTGGAGGTTCAGAAGAAGGGCAAGATCCCAGCTGCAGTCACACCTGCACAGAACTGGGCTCTCGCCACTGATGTCAGCTGGATTAGTTCAGGTTTATGGCAAAGCAGTGTGAGTGGAACAGATTGTGGCCCACCAGTGGAAAGGAGGTGGGCTAGAGTAGCTGGAGGAGAGGGGCACAGATCAGAACTGAGGCGCACTGAGCGGGGCGCCCAGCATTGGAATAGAAGGCATGCTGGATGGTGGAGTGGAGGGGTACTGGCAGGGTGCACTGGCAGCCCAGGGCTGGGATAGGGGTAGAGAGACTGCAGCACAAGACTGGGGGACATTTGCAGAGCTGAGAGAAGGGGGAACCCTGCCAGCTCTACTCCTGACTGGGGCCAACATTGTGAATCCTTAACCTGATAAGCAATGGGGCACTTGTCAGTGAATGGAAAGATGCATTTTTAGGGCAGATGAGCTGGGAAGACCTTTTGTTTCTTTAGGCTGCACCAGTTCAGAAATCAGTGCTTATGGAGGAGACCCAGTATCATAGATCTCAGCCATTAGGTTTCCAGGAACAGGACCTAGATTCCCAAGGGGCTAGGCCAGGGGCCAGGATCTTCCCCTCCTCTGAGCCCCACACCCTCATGATGATGCCCAGACTTGAGCTCCTGTCTTATGTTTCAGATTTACTGGCCACCTCTCCCTGGGCAGAAGGAGGAATGTGTTCGGAAGGGGAAGGACCCAATGGTAAGTCCCCCTTTTCTCTCCTGATGGATTCATTTGGGGCTCTACCTTCTCTTCAGGGACTTATTTACACATGGGGTTCTACTAGCTACTAAAGAAACCAGAGAAGAGGCTGAGTATGTCTCTCCCTTGGATCCCTCCTTCCCTGAGACAGGGAGATAGGAGGGTCCTTTCCTTGTGTGAGAAGGTTAGTGGCTTCCTTATGGGATTCACCCCTCACACATACTTTTCTGTCTTAGTGGCTGCTGCTCTGGCCTCTCTGTTATACCATCCCTCACTGTGTGTGCACAAGAGTTCAGGTTATAAGGAGTGGCTACTACTGGGTGTATGCTTTTGAGGAGGCACATCTATTCAGGTCTTTATCTGGCCTCCATCACTTTATTATGTGAATGCCTTACAGAACTTATCTTTGCAACACGTTCTGTGGCAGAGTGCAGCTATTACCTCCATGTGATAGATGGGGACTTGAGGCACAGAGGCTGCCTGTGACTTGGCCAAGGTCCTTGATAGAGTCCAGCAGAGCAGAGGATTGAATTCCAGGGCTGAAGCTAGTGCGCTAACCACTGCACCATCCTCCCTGTCTCTATGGGGCTGTTGTCGGGTATTCCTAGCTCTGCCACTGACTCAGGGCAGACCTTTCTGCCTGTCTCTCTTGGTTCCTACATAGTCCCTATCACTGGCCTCTTCACAGACATGAACAGATAGCTCCACACAAGCCCCTTTGAGGCAGGGTAGGATTATTACTCCTGTGTACGGAGGGGAAAGCACAATGTGATGAAGTGTCCTACCCAAGGTCACAGGAGAAGCCTGTATTGGACTCAGGAACTGAACACCCATCGCTGAGTCACAGTCCATTGCCTTAACCATCAAATTGGGAACAGGATTGTTTGGAACCAGAGCCATGCAAAGCCAGCTGTTTGCTTAGTGAATACAGTACACAAACCAGTCCTTGACACCTGACCTCTCTGCACTTACCCTACCACTCTTCTTACGTGCAAGCTGGTGGAAACTGAAACGGCCCATGTCACGACCTGGGCCATTTTCTAGGCAGCAGTGTGCCTGGGGAGGTTCCCGGGCTGAGCCATCCCGGAGAGTCCTCTCAGCCATAGGACTCCAAGGAGTTGCATGCTTTTCATCCTTTGGAGGGGTTTGTGTGTGCGTGAATGTGTAGAAGACAGGGCCTGGTCCAGAGCCTCCTGAGATCAGTGGGTCTTTCCATTAACCTGAAAGGTCTTTGGCTCTCAGAGCAGAAAAGGCTTTTCTGGTTTTGCGAATGCTTTGCTGGACGAGGCATGGCAGATTTCAGTTGCCTGCTCCCCTGAAGAGTCCCCTGCTTTCAAATAGATATTTTAAAATCATGCTTTGAAACAATAGAGCACTTGAGGGGGGTGGACACTGTGTTGATGGCCCATCCCAGAATAATTGCTCCCTGGGGCAGTTGTCACTCAGTTCAGCCTTCATATGTTTATTTTGCAAGCTCTCTCCAGCGGATCCAGAGCCTAAAGTGACCGTGCTCTGCTCCCCCATTCTTGCTGTTTAAGAGACTTTTGAAAAGGAAAAATAAACACCACAAGAGGCTCAGAAACCAGCAGTCGGACTGCGGAGGGTGGCTCAGCCTCCGCGTTCCCAGAGCTGAGGGCTGCTGCCATCTTAGTGGGGCTCATTGTGGTGGAGGTGGTAAGTCCTGGTGTCGACTTCAGGAGACCACAGGAGTCACTGGTAGCTAAAGGTAAACTGAGCTGGCTGGAGGTGATTGATTGTGCTGACAGAGTTGAACATGCTTCTTTCTTCCTTATGAACCTCCTGCTCTAATTACCAGGAGCCAAGTGAGTCAGGTGTTTTGTAACCGACCTATTTAAAAACATCCACATTTCCTCAGTTTTTCCCCAGAAGCCTCCTTTCGGCTCTCGCATCAAAGCCCTTCCATTGTTCTCCTCCTGCCTCTGCCTAGAATTGGCTTTTTTTCCCCTTCATTTTCCTCATATTCCCTGATCATCAATCAATGGTTGGTGTTTTCTTTTCACTGCTGCAGTCCCCCTCCTGGTTTTGCTCTTCTCATCAGCTTCTGGCTGCTGCTGTCCCTCTTGTGTTCAGATTCTTTGACAGAAATGTAACCCATTTTGGGGCCAGCTGTTGACTTGAGGGAGAGGGGCGGCTCAGGAAGTCTGGAGGGCTGGCTGGGAGAATCTCTGGCAGTTGCAGATCCATATCTAAGTGGTTTGAGGTCTCCATCTACCTCCCCAGCCCCATCCTTTCTCCTTCCAAATTCTGATCTGCCAAGCTTTCCAGCCTTGCCCTGACTAACCCGGACCCTGCCCCCATAGGAATGCGCACACAGACAAATATACATGCAAACACAAGGCAGCCCCTGAACGGATGTGTTTTAAGAACACACATTTTTCAGAAGAGAATAAAGGATTTCAGTCAAAGCCAGAGTCCTTTTAGGAGGTGGAAAGGGTCTGGGAAGGGGGTACTTAGATAAATGCAATAAAAGATTCTGGTTTGGGTCAGTCTGAGATTAGACCTGAGGTCTCAGCCACTTCTTTTGTTTCACAAACTTGCTTGCTCACTTCCAGCTGATACAAAGCTTAGGCCATGTGGCTCCATAAGAAAGTCCTTGGGCTATTCACTGGTGTTTCATGGTGTGTTCCCTTGTGCTCAGTAGTGCCAGGATATTCCCCAACCCTGAACACATGAAAAGTTTTGGAGTGTGATGTATATTTATTTTCTAATGTAAAAACCAGAGTCCTGATCTGTAGCTGGTCTTCATCAGCATAGCTGCATTGGCTTCAGCTTAGCTCTGACCACTCACATGAGGTGTGGATCTGACGCAAGGCCTATTCTGGTTGATTAGTGTGACAGCAATTGCCCTATATAAATGAAGAGGGCAGGTTGAGGACTGGCAGTTGGCCATTAAGAATTAGAAAATGAGGTTAGGGAGTCTTACCCGGTCAGGAAAGAATGAAACTATTAGAAGTCTTGCTATTGCCTGTGCTGAGGGCAGGTTTTCACTTTTATCCAAGGAGCCTTGTTTTCCTGGAAGCTTCTGCAGTTTCTCTCTCTTGCACTCATTTCCTTAGGGCTGGTTGATTTAGGAACAATGAATCCTCCATTTAAACAGGAGCTTGGACTAGATGAGCTGGGGGTCCATTCCAACCCTGTGATTCCTTTAGAGGTTCATAAGCAGCCTGGGAGTAGAAAAGTGTCGCCAAGTGTAACAGCACATCGGGACAGGTACATAAAGCCTGTCCCCCGCTGCCTTTTGGGTAATAAGGAAAAGAGACTTCAGAATGGGGAATACAGGAGCAGAACATGCCATTTTGTTGCAAGTGCTCCTGCTGCTGGGTTTAAGCATTTGTCAGCAGTGCCTTCCTGCCTGAGAAAAACTCCTTGCTCTCAGCACCCAGATGCAAGGCTAGCAGTAACAGTACCGAGGCTAGCTGTAACATGTCTTCTCCAAGTTCTGTACCTCCGCCAAAGGAAAACAAGGATTCATCACAGCAGACAGGTTTAGGCAGGGTCATTACAACAACTCCTGCCCCTGCAGAAGACCATAGAGGTGGAGTGGTTTTTATTTCTGTAAGTGAATAAGAATGATTGTATGAAGGGCATCAGATCCCCAGGTCTTACATCCAAGGGTCTGTCTCTATCCCCATTATGAGCCAACTTCTCCAGGGTGCCCCTCAGCACAGTCCTGAAGGGACCCACCCCCATAGCTGGAAGGGGGGAGGAGGGGTGTTACCTCTGCTGAAACAATTGCCAGTTTCTAGGTTGATATGATACAGATATCTGCATGCTGGGACCTGGACTGGTACAGTCAAGCCAGATCACACGGGCCTCTGAAGATCCTTCAGATGGTAACAACATTGGCCTGGATTTGAACCAGTGACTTCAAGTGGAAAAGTCTCCCTTGGCTTTTACCCATTTCCTTAGCCACCTCCTCTTCCAGGTTCAATGAGATTTAAACTGATGTTGCTGAATAACTCAGAATGATAGGAGGTCAATGTGAATCATAGCAACATGTCCTGTGATGGGCAATGAAAGCCAAAATTTCCAGCAAGTGCATTTCCCTGCAGGTAAAGGGGAGGCCTTGATGATTCTATTAAACCCTCTCTGTCCAGCTTCTGAGCAGCTGGGGCCACATCCTACCCAGCCCTGGCGCACACTGCGTAGACTGCACACCACAGGGCCCAGGCTCTCCACTTCACCCTATGCCATAGGCCTCCCTGCTGTGCCATGCTGCACAGAGTCCCATCTCCCCTGAACCTCCAAGCCACAGGCTCCCTGAGTTGCAAGGGCCATGCTGTGACTTCCCACCTCCAGGGGCTAGAGCAGGAAGCAGAAGCTGGAGGAGGGAGGGGGAGCCTGGAGACCCTGGTGATAACAGCTGGAGGGGGATAGGGGAGCGGCTGTGAATTAACACCCTGCAGACCACATGAGGCCTGGGGGTCACCAGTTGAACAGCCCTGCGTTAAACCATAATGGGCAAAGAGGATGGTGGCTGGTGCTTTCACTGGAAGCCTAAATGAGTTAGGACCTAACTCTGCTCATGAATTGAGAATGGCAGTGAGATTAAAGAGTAAGCATTTGTGGCAGGACTTGGGAAGACCTCAGAGCTTCACAAAGCATGTGGGAGCTGTAGGGATTCAGCAGCTCCATAGATGAGGAACTCGTATAGGAATACTTGACTCTCCACTGAACTGATGCATCTTTCCTCCGAGAATGTGTCCAACCCCTTTTTTGGCATCTGGCTAGATGTCAGCTTCCACACCATCTTGAGGCAGTGAGTTCCACACTTGAATTGCACGCTGCATGAAAAAGAACTTCCTTTGGTTATTTTTAAACTTACTACCTACTAGTTTCATGTTGTGACCACTAGTTCTGAGACTGAGAGAGATTAGCAAATAATAAATCCCTTTTTACTTTCTCTTCACCGTTTAGTGTTTTGTAAACCCTTATCAGGTACCCACTTAAGCTCTATTTTCTAAACTGAATAGGCCTAGCCTCTCAGTGGAGAAGGCTTATTCTTCTTTAGCTACTCTGCATTAAGTGTCCCTGTGCCCTCAATGAGCCTGCAGTAAATGACAGCTAAACCAGGCCAGTTTAGCCCTGTTTCATTCAGTAGCGTGCTGCCTTGGTTTAGCTCTCACTTCAAGGTATGAGTGCACACATGGATGGTTACTGCAAAGCAGCTAGGACATGGTAAGTGCTTGCCCACTTATTTGCAGGAGAAAGGTAGCTCCTGGTATTAGGATTGCATGGAATTACCACAGGAGTCACCTGTAAGCAGAGTTGCAACTAGCAACATTTGGGATCAGTTGGTCTAGTATATGCTGCCTGACATGATGAAGCAGAGAGGAGCTGGAGGAGAGACAAGGCTGCGCTATCAGAGAAAATGACTGATCACTTCTCTGCAGAGCGGCAGAGTTGGTTCTTCCTGAGCTGAGCATGATGAATAGATACTTAGAGCCTTCAGAGGAAGCTCTGACAGTCTCCTTGCTCTTGCTGCCCTTATCAGCCAGGGGATCACTGCTCCGGAAAGGGAGCAATTAATCCAGGTCAGTCATGAAAAGGCATTTATCTTCCTGCCCTGTGTAACTAACCGGCCTCCCCTTTAAATGACTAATTTGTCCAGAAGAAGGCCCTGCATGTCCGTCTGTCCGTCTCCTTTACTTCCTGCCTTTGTTCGCCCCATTCCCCTTCTCCAAAAAAAGCTCCGTGGGAGCGGGAGTGAGCACTACGCTGAGGAGTCTGTCTGTGTGTCTGTGTGACGTGGATGGCACCAGCCCTTGGGGGAAGGTGACCCCTGGTTTCCGGGCTGTGGCATGAGAACTTTCCTGCTTGTTTAATGAGGACAGGCTAGTGGACAGGGAGCACGCAGGGAAATACCCCCGTGCTGAGAGACTACCACCGTGCTTGTCACCCACAGTAGTACGTTGAGCTCAATGCAGGTGTGCTCTGACCTAGCAGAGATCATTCTTATTAGGGAGAGTTCACTTCATTAGGAAGTAGGGGAGAGCTCTTCAAGGAGGTGTCAGTGTGGACCCCATAGCAGGTGTCCTTTGAATGGCAGTTTCCACTGGGTCTGCACATGCACAATGTGCCACCATATGTGTTTCTGTGCCTCGAGGAAAAAGGGTGGGGCTGCCCCAACCCTCTGTCCATTCCCTGGCAATTGGGTCCACACTGATGCCATATGTAAGTAATCAGTCTTTAGTTTCCCTCCCTCCATAGCCTTAGCTTTTTATGATAGTATCTGGCTTTCTTCTTGTGCATGAGCTATACTAAAGAATAGGTGTATTGGGATTAGAATTTGCCTTGTAGCCATCCCAAGGTGCGGTGGATATTTCTCATGCTGTGATAGCCTGTGTAACTAACCTTAGGATAAACCCAACCCCCCAGCACAATGTTAAGACCCTGCCTTTTTCACAGCTCTCTCACCAAAGCCTCCATAGTGAAGCAAGAGAGCAGCCCAGTTTCACTCAGACGGGGAGACAGACATTCAGGCCTGGAACTCTGGAAGTGGTTTGACATTTTGGGATGGAGTAGAAGCTGGGTCCCTAAGTAAGAGGCTGTTTTCCTGACTTGATACACAGGGGCAGAATCCTCAGCCTGTGTAGCTTAGCCAAGCTATAATGAAGTACATAGAGCTTACTGATAGCTGAGAATCTGGCCCATAGTCTTCACATGTGTGATGCTCATCCAGGAGCCAGGCTCAGCCACTCCCTCCTGGGTACCACTGGGTCAGAATGAGTCCTGTACCTCTGCACCTTCCCTCTTCCTTCTGGGTGCAGCCTCCAATGAACTAAGATAATGTGTTCTCTGCTGCTTCTCTGAGCTAATACAGGAAGCTGCTGCACAAAGCAATATGAAGACCTCATTTCCTGGCCAGGGACAATGCAGTGGGTTGGGAGACTGACAGGGGCTGCTGCTGGGGAAGCAGCCGCTTGGACTGGAGTTGCAGGGAATAGGCTACGTGCCAAGAAACCATAAAGGGAATATAACTGTGTTGCCTGCCCTAGCGCCAATACAAGAACCTGCAGCTGAGAGCAGTGAGGGAATTCCCACTGCCTCCGTGGAGATAATGCAGTGAACAGAGAAGATATGTCCTCAGAGAAGGGGAGGGAATTGCATGAGCTGAGCTGCTGTTGGAAGAATGTTTCCCAAAGGAATCGTATTGTTCTACGTACTGTATGCGAAGGAACAAGGTGAGGGACATTAATGGTGTCACTGCTGAGAGCTCAGTGCAGCAAAAGAAACCCCCACCTGGTTTCACAACTAGGAGCACATATTGCTTCCTGCTATTGTGTCTCAGAGCCAGGGACCGGCCTTTCACTGCCTGCCTCAGCCCAGCCCAGATAGACTTGCTGAGAAAACCCAGCGCGAAGGGAACTTTTGCTGAATGCTTTGGATGACAGCATGAGAGTAGCAAAGGGCTTATTTCATTTATGAAGCTGTTCTGTTCCACAGTTGTACGATACTATGACTCACTTACGTCTGGACTCTGCTCTTTAGAAACCACGGGTAAACTCCCGGCTGCAGTTGCATGGAAAGCAGAGCGCCAATATCGTGTGCTGCTAACTCATACACCAGCTGTTCACTGATCAGTTGTGCATGTATGCGTGCATGTGAGTGTGTGTGTGTATACAGTATTGCCATCCCCAGATGTTCAAAATCCATGAGCCAACCCCAAAAATATTATGGGATTTCCTGAAATATTATGAGGGGGCTTAAAAATAATGCAGTTTGAGTCCCCTTCTGTTGTTCTGATTTTTGACCCTTAAGAGCACCATCATGTTGCATTCCCAAACTTTCCTCCACAACCTTGAGAGCCAGAAAGGAAAGCTGAGATTCTCTTACATTCACTTGGCTCCAGGTCCTAGGGCTTTAAGAGAAACAAGATATATGGTGAGATCTGCAGTAAAACTGCGAAGGTTGGCAATGCTGCAGTGGTAAGACTTAACTTAGAGGAGCTGAATGATGTAATGGATTACTCTTTATTATACATTGCTGAGGCACCCGCTGCTCTGTAGTCCAGGCTCCATCACACATGCTCAGAGGAATGTTGGATTTCTTGGCAAACAGCATAGATATCCCCAGCTTTCCTGCTCACTGACAAAGGCGCACACAAGATGCGTCCCCCCCCCATCCCTCCCACTCAATCTCCACTGTGTTTCTTCCAGACTGAATGTGCCAACTACATCCGCACTCTTCATCCTTTCAACCGGACACACCTGCTTGCCTGTGGCACAGGAGCCTTCCACCCAGTCTGTGCCTTCATCTATGTGGGACATCGCGGGGAGGTAGGAGAGCACCAACAGAAGCTGGCACCAGCCACATGCCACTGCATCACATCTCCATTTCCCTCCACAAATCTTCACTTGCACTCCTTAGCAGCCTTTTGCACCCAAACAACAAGCAGTCCATGGATGGCAGGGATCCATGACCCAGATGGCCAGAGTGGATCAATGTACGATGCTTGCCTCATGCACCACTAACCATGTGCCCAGCACTGGGAGCCATTCCACACCCAGCAAGCCCAGGCCTAGCACTGGGTGAAGGAGATGCAAGCAGCTCCTTGCAGTGAGACCCTGTCCCCAGATTTGTGCCAAGCCTCCATTTCCCCACCTTCGGGCATTTATGAATTTCCATCTGGATCCATCAGCCTTGATCCTTCCCCTCACCCTCCCCAGTGCTGGCTTCCTCTTGAGTGGTATTACTTTCCTCACCCCTTGCCTGGGCTGGGGCCATAAGTCAGCATGGCCTCCATAAGAAGGCCTTGCTGCCTCTCTGTAACTTCCTTCTACCCCAGAGGCTTGAGTCGCCCTTATTCAGAAAGGAGGAGAAAGAGCCCTTTCAACCAAGCTGTGTGTCATAATGACGGGGACCATCCTGGTCTGTCCTTGTGCCCCCTTACACTATGTGCTCCACCCACAGATACCTCAGCTCTTGACACTGGGAGCGGCAGGACACAATCAGGGCCCTGTTAGTGGTGATGTCTACATCTAGCAGGTCCTGCTGTGGCCCTGGTTTCTGGTCTTGGAAGGTGCTTGTGTCGCTGTGGGAGCTCAGGGCCATTCGTGTCTAGCAGACAGCCATACTACGTGCTTGAAGGGGTTGCTTTGTACCCCCACATGGGGCGAGAGACCGACTGGAGACCAGAGCTGAACATCAGCATTGCTGGGGAGGAGGGAGAACGCATCTGCACGACTCTCAGCCTGGCTGTTAAAATGCATTCTGACTGCTGGCAGGGCCTGAAACCCTAGCTTCCCATAAATAACTAAATGTGTCATAATTGGAGACATTTCTCTGCAGGAAGAGGGGGAGAACAGCCCTCAGGATGTGTGAGGCCAGATCCTTAGCTAGTGTCAACCAGCACAGCTTGGGAGTGTGGCTGATTCACCTCAGTTGAGGATCTCACTGTGGTGCTTGAGCTATTTAATTCTCTTACAAAGCCAGGGCTGAGGGCCTCAGGCAGGAAGCTGGGTACACAGAAGGAACATTTCATTCTAAAGACCATATATTTTTTTCCCCCTTTCTGGCTGCATTTCCTCTATGTTTATTCCAGACCAATGCTCCCTCTGAGCCCCAGCTGCGCCTTCTTAAAGGCTTGTTCTTACATGTCACTGAAAACCCAATTTACCACACTTAAAAGAGGAGGTTGAAAAAGAATTCAGCTGCAGAGTGTCCCCCAGCCCCACTCTGAGCGCAGTGAGAAGAGCATGCCCGTCACATGGCATTCAGTACTGCCATGGAAAATGCCCAGATTACAAACAATAGACAGCTCTTCCAGTAGCCCAGAGCCCCTTGGAACAAGGTCAAAAATGTTGATAGAGGAGCATGTGCCTATTTCTAGGGCTAGAAGTGCTGTGTTTCCCTATCCCATCCCTGGTAACATGTATGTGACCTCCGTAGAGGTGAGCTCCAGGCTCACCACCCATTTCACGTAACTAGCCCTGGTTTAGGCTTGGGCTTCTGGCATGGGCCTAGAATCTCCAACCAAGATCTCGCACCCAGCTTGTACATTGCCTAGTGGCATTACTTTATTGCCTCGCCTGTAATCTGTATTTCTCTTCTTCCCAGCACATGTTAAGCCTGGATCCCACAAGTGTGGAGAATGGGCGAGGCAAGTGTCCACATGAGCCCAACAGGGCATTTGCAAGCACCTTTACAGGTAGGTGTTATGCTCAGTCAGCAAGTGACTCAGACCTTTTCACTGACTATTGCCTGCAAGGCCAAGTGCCCTAGTAAGATCATGCATTAACCCAAGGTCAGTCAGCTCCCCTGTACCTGAGGGCATACTGGGGAGAGGTTGTTGGGGGAGACTATTTCCCAGTGAGATTGTTTTAGGGTCAGAGAGCTTTGACCACAGCCATACTTCACAAGGCCCAGAGCACATTGGATCTGCGATCCCTTAGCAATGGTTAATAACCTCCACCCTGCCTGGGGCTGTATCTAGAGTTTGTGCAGGGGGGTGGGCACAAAAATGCAGTTCAGGTTCTTTCCCTTCGAGGCACTTCTGCTGTCTCTCAAATTCTTTGCCTGGGAGAGCCTGTAGTTTTGGCCATGGTTGACAACTGAACTGGATAGCTGTTGCCAGTAGAAGGTTCCCTTTCCTGTCAGGCCATAGACCTCCTCATGATAATACATGTACATAGAGTCCAGTCTTTTCTGGTGGTGCTGCCCTCTTTTCCATGATGGGCTTGCCATGGGCAGGAGCAGGCCACAGGGTTTACTTTCTCTCCGGGGTTCTCTCCCCAGGTGGAGAGCTGTATACAGGTCTCACGGCAGACTTCCTGGGCCGGGACTCGGTGATCTTCCGCAGCACGGGGACCCGCTCTGCTCTGCGCACTGAGATGGATCAGCAGCTGCTCAATGGTATTGGCATGTTCCATTCGACTTTGCCCATGGGAACCATGCTGGCAATGTGCCATGAGACTGAAGCAATGGGCCACTGGCATTTATTGGAGCAATGAACAGCCACACTCTTCAACATAACTCCAATGTGCAGTACTTATCTAGAGATCCAAATAGAAGGACACAGTGTGGCTGACCATCAGGGTGGGGAAGGGGATTAGTCCAGGAGGGGGGGAAGGATAGCGGTGGAGAGGCAGAGACTTGAGTAGTCCTGAATGTAAAAGTTGTGGTACCACCCACCCCACAGAGATGTGGCCCACCCAACGAAATGTGATTGAACGGGATGGTGCTCCTGGCCTTTGGACTTGCTTGTGAATGCATCCTGTTTCTTACTCCAGCCACAGCATGCAGAAGGTCTCTCGGCAAGTGTGCTAACACATAGGCCAACCTTGAGGGCAGGTGTTTCTGAGAGTCTGCCTTGTTCAGAGCTGGACAGAGCTGAGGCTGTTCTTGGAGTGTCATTGTTATAAGTCCTAGTGTTTCTCTGTCTCTCACAGACCCAAAGTTTGTGGCTGCCTACTTGATCCCTGACAATGATGACCGGGACAATGACAAGGTCTACTTCTTCTTCACCGAGAAGGTGGCAGAGTCGGATGGCAAAGGCCGTGCCATCTTTAGCCGCATTGGGCGAGTCTGTGTGGTGAGGTCATGGTGGGGGCTGTTGGGGTAACACTGAGTCAGCTATCCCAAGGAGCACTGAGTACGGAGAGTTCAGGGGCTTTATGGACACCCACCTACTCCTGTTCCCTCCATCTTCCAACAAACAATTGCCTTTTTGAAAAATGAACATCCTCACAGAAAGCTTATGTTTTCTGGAAAAGAAATGTTGATTTTTCAATGAGAACCTGAACACTTGAAAACCAAACACTTTGATTCTGAAAGGCTGCCATGATGCTGCCTGTACTTTGGTACCAATCGCATACCAGACAGGTTCTGCCACAGCTCCTCTGGAGATGCATGAAGCAGCTCCTGTGCTACCAGAAAGGGGAACATCAAGAGCCTCCCTTATCCCCCTGCATGGACTGCTCAGCACAGGCTCGCAGTCCTGTTGGATTGTCCTTTTCTTTTGTGTGCCAGTGGGTGTGCAGCAGGTGAAGCTGGCTATCTAGGAAGCTATGCCATCAGGCAGGCAGGTGTACCCATAACACAAGTCTCATCAGTTTGCATGCTGAGGCTGCTGGAGAGGCAGCCCAGGACAGATTTCCAGTGCTTCATGCATTGCTGCTCAGGAAACAAGCAGCAGCTGGTCTTTGGCTCTGGAGTTGTGCGTTCCAAACAAAGCTCTCCCTGAGAGCATCATAGCTGGTGACCAAACTAGCCATGGGCTGCTGATCTAAAACCCACAGCCTCTTCTTGTTGACTTTGGTGGGCTGCCGATCAGGCTTTTCAGGACTTAGCCTTGAAATCGGAGCTGCTTCTTCCTTCCCTTTGGTTTCTGGAGTGAAATGTCTGAAGGTTGTTTGGCATTCAGCGTGTTTGCTAAGCTCTTCGAATCAAGGCCTCACAGGCCACATCTCCCATTCTCAAAGGCCACATAAATCTCTCTGGACTGCAAACATCTCTCCCAGCCCGAGTGAGAAAAATGAACTGTTTTATGGGCCTTTAATGTGGTTGGCACAAAACCCTACTGAAACCTTTGATGAAGAGCTTGGGGATTTAAGACTGACATGCAAAGCAGGGGCCTTCCAATTTCCCAACCAGGCCCATCCCACCTCCCCTTTTCTTCCTCTTCTTTTAAGTCAAAGACTTCTCCTTCCTACCTGATTTTGGACACAGTTTTGTTTCCAAAAGTGTCCAGTGGTGCAGTCATGTCACTGGGGTGCTTTTATGTTTTACTAAGTGACTTTAGCTGGGTTCGGGTAGGAAAAAAACCCAGACCCTGGCCACCTCATCTCCCTCAGCCATGCTGGAAGTTCCTATGAGTCTTAGTCACCCCCTTGCAGAGCCATGGCAGGTCTGAGAGCTACTTTTACACACAGAGTCTTGCAGAGACCTGGTTCTTTTTCCAGTGTAGCTTGGTAAGCAGAACAAAGAATTTGGAGTTGCCTCTGAGGCTATCTGGCCATGAACAGCTACCTGAGTGCACAACCACCTCATGAATAAACCTGAGAGTCTTTATGCCCATCTCTTGGCTTGCCTTGTAGCATCTCTTCCTTTGTTCCAAAACTGGTAGCTCCCAGGAAGCCCACTGATGAGAGCAGCAGGCCACTTCCACCTGAGAATGGCTTATGCCACCCAAGCACCCTTTGTCATGTCCTGCCATTGGTGAATGGAGCTTGCATATAGAAAGAGCCAACGTTTCCCTCTCTCGATCCCCAGCTGCTTCTCAGAAATTGTGACTTTTAGCATCATAGTAATGGTAAAAATCTGGCTTTTTATGGTCATGTCCCAATTTTTTCCAACAAGCAAGATGTTGGGATTCTTTTTCAGAGGGAGATAGAAGAGAGGGCAACTTTGTGCATTGCTGATGGATTTGAATCTTCTCTGGTCTGTGCGAAACATCACAAGGAGACATTACAGCTTCTCTCTGGTATTGCTGGTGGTGAGAATTTTGGAGAGCCCTACTCTGGATTTGGAAGAAGGAGGGTGAACTTGGGAAGGGAATAAAAAGAGAGAAGATCAGCACCATCCCAAGGGGATTCCTACTTGGACACAGTGCATCAGTGCATCTTGCAGCAGAGCGGAGGCCCATGTCTCTAAGTGCATGTTGGAATGTTGAGGGCTGACCCCTGCCTCTCCCTGGGAACCCTTGGGTGTTGTTTGGACAGGATGGCTCCAGTGTTTCAGCATAAGGAAGATGTCAAGCCCATGCATCTTCCTGGCCCAAGGGACCAACAGCTGTTGTTCACAGCTGCAGTGACATCACTCAATTAAATGTAGTGATGGATGAGCTTCACTGCAATGTGTCACCAGGCCTCCTAGGGACCGTTGCCTCTATGCAGCACTAGCACGCAACCCTGACAGCATTAATCCCTCACAAACCCTGGGGACATGGATCTAAACCAAACACCAAGGCTTGGCCAGCTGGCAAAGCTAAAGCAACCCTTGGTCTTATAGTCTGTACTGATTCATGAGTCTCAGTATCAGGGACCATTAGCAGATCTGTGTATTCTCTTGGATTAGCCTTATAGTTGCTTTGAGTCACCTTGGTCAGTTATGACAAATCTTATGTCCTGCTGTGATCAGAGTTAGATGCTTGAAGAGGAGCTGGAGTCTTTGACCTCACTGGCCTTGGAGGAAAGATGCCTGCCCTTCTCTGCCCTCCATATGGAGCCAATTCAAGTCTGTTAGCAATTTGGGGCAGGGGTGGAGTACGGACTCTGGGAAGCCTGGGGAAGGCACTGTGGTAGAGCTGGCACAGCATCCAGAAGGCAGTGACTCAACCCTTGGCCCCATCATTCACAAGCAGGAGTTAGCAGCCCCAGAGATCCCAGGAAGGCAGGAGAGAAACATCTTTCAAGAGAGATCACGGCAGCCTCTGCAGTTGCTCAGTGTGGGGGGCGCTGCCTTGGAACAGGCTCTGGGCAGTGTGTGCAGGGAGAGGAGAATCCCCACAGACAAATGCTGCCAGCCACAAGCTCCCTGCTCTTACCTGAACCCCAGAAATTACCACAGCAACAAAGAGGTTATTTATTGGTTATTTATTGGCTGCTACTTAGAAAGGAACTCTGTGTGAGAGGCTGGAGGGGAGAGCAAGAACCCACCTCCCCCAGCTTCCAGCAGGGGCCCCTTGCTGATTGAGATCAAGGAGGGTCTCTGCTTGCTGTCAGGAGCACAGCTTCACTATATGCTGCTTCCATACCTTGGACATATGGAACCCATAGGCACAATGGTGGGTGAATCTTCCCTAGTGAGCAGCGAGGCCCCAGGGGTCAGTGCACTGCCCTTCCACCACTGTGCATCCAGGACTCCATCCTCTGCTGTATTGAGCTAATACTTGCAGCTGAGTGTGGCAGAGATGAGCATCTCTGAGCTGCAGTTTCCTCTCCCCTAATCCTTGGGCTGGATCAGCTCCAGGAACAAAGTTAGAGGTGCCACTTGTCTCCTGCAGAGAAAAATATTCCTCTGTCCCCATCACTGTAATGTCTACAGCCAGCTGTGCCTTCAGGGTGGAGGAGAGGACAAGTGATTCCTGGACTAGGTGCAATGCCCAGCTACTATTTGAGGGCAGCTTCAAGTCCATTTTGCAAATCCATAGTGTATCCAAGAGGATTTAGCTTGGGCCAAGCCTCTGACCCTGACATTCAAACATGGCAGAGGCCACTAGTCAAATTACTTGGCCAGGCTGTTCTCAGTTCATCTGTATCTTTGAGACAATCTCTGCTGGAATTGCAAGAGGTGGAGCCTGTAGGTCCAGACTGAGCTGCATTGAAAAAGCTGTGTAGAAAGCCCAGGACTGGAATAGCAAGGGGATCTGGATCAGGAGTGAGAGGCACTGGCAGAGAGATCTAGGGTATCAGCTAGAGCAGCTGGGTTCTTTAGATCAGGACAGGTATGTGAGTGAAGCTAGCCCAATGCTCCAAGCCTGGCACCAGCCAGGATTGGTCTGCATTCACACACATGCCACATAGCCCCATGGCACAAAGCCTTTACATGTGACCAACAGCAGTGTGCGCTCTGGAACAGGAAACCAGTTCTTTTCTATGTGACTTAGGGATGGAGAAACAGAGGCAAGCTGTCCATTTCTGGGAGCCTGACTGAAAAAGGCACCCTTCCCAAAGTGGCCATGGATTTTCAGTGTCTCTCTGGGTCTCATTGGGAGAGTCAGTGCACTAGATCAATCTCCCCCAGTCAGTTGCAACGTCCATGGATCCCAGCCAGATTCATTTCCTGAAGGGGTGGAGCAGCACTGTCCCAGCCTTGCAGGCAGCAATCCCTTGTGAGCTTCATGTCAAGTAGAGTCCTCTCTTCTCCTTCCAGAATGATGCAGGGGGCCAGAGAGTCCTGGTCAACAAGTGGAGCACCTTCAACAAAGCCCGGCTGGTGTGCTCTGTTCCAGGTCCTGACGGGATAGACACCTACTTTGACGATCTGGGTAAGACGAGCTTCCACTCCCTTCTCATGTGGCTCTGAGACTTGGCATGTCAGGATTGAGGTGGGTGTGTGGAGGGGAGTGGTTTGAACCTCCTTGGTGACCCTGTGTTCAATTTCATAGAGGACATCTTCCTACTGTGGACCAAAGAGGGGAAGAGCCCAGAGATCTATGCTCTCTTCAGCACCATCAGGTAACAGCTCACAGCCCACATGTCCTCTTATTTTCTGTAATACTGCAACAACTCTTCTCCTGCTGCCATGAAAAATTAACAGCAGACCCTCTAATCAAGTCCATAACTCTAACCCTACTCTTCTTTTCCCCTGTTGCTTTCTTTTATTCTTGTTTATTTTGCAATAGCATTTAGAGGTTACACTCTCTTTGTGCTAAGTGTAATACAAACACCACCGAAAGATGGTCCCAGTTCCAACATGCTGATCATTTAAGCAGTAATGGAATTATTTAGTCTTATAATTATACTATGTGGTAGAAGGTGAACTGCATGAGGCTAACAGTCAATACTGAGTTGTTTGGGGTATACTAAGACAAAGCCTCAGGGGGATAAATAAGCCTAACATGTGGTGTTCCTAAATGTATTCATGTGTTAGGATAATATAGTAGCACTAACTTCAAGATAGTATAATAGCTTCATACTCTGGCATTTAAAGTGGTAACAGAGTGCTGGCAGAGAGTGCCATGTGATTGACTTTGAAGGAGCTAAGTTATTAACGTAATCTGGAGCAAGATGGGTATAGATACAGTTGGTATATTAACAGCTGTCTCAAAATAAATGTATAACATCTTCCAGACCAGTCTTTTTGTGAGCTGAGAATGAAAACGTGTCTGTTGGTAACTGCGCTTTGTGGGTCAGAGTTAACGCTATTGTTTGGATACTTGATATTAATATCACCAGGCCCAGGCCCAGGTTTGTGTTTGTGTCAGGGTATTTGACTCTTTATTCATGTTATTTAATTGATTCCTTGTCTTTTGATAGCTAAGATTCTTGTATTTAAGCCTATAACACTGAGTGGATAGATGTATTTTCATTAATGTTTTTGTTATTTTCTGGGCCAGCATTAATTGTAATTAATCCCAGTTCATCTGGGGCAGTGCAATCGATCTGAGGAGTTGGAGAGTCCGATATCAGTTCCTCCTGGTTGCCTGGGAGCTGGTGACTGAGTCCTAGCCCTCTAGGATGTTAATTTCCCTGTGACTTCCCATTTGCTTTTAGTGTAACACCTTTCGATGCCCCTGTTCCCTTGGGCTCATCCCCTAGTTCTGTTAACAGAATGATTGCCTGAAGCTGGGCACAAAATTAACCACCCTTCCCCACAACGGGGCCTGAATGGGGCACCTTTTCTCCTTTCTCCTTTCAGCAATGTGTTCCAAGGCTTCGCCATCTGTGTGTATCGCATGGCAGACATCTGGGAGGTCTTCAATGGGCCCTTTGCCCATAAGGATGGCCCTGATCATCAGTGGGCTGCCTATGAGGGCAAGGTGCCATACCCCAGGCCTGGAGTTGTAAGTAATTCATGTTCTTGTTTGGAGAACAGTTGGAGGGGACTGGCTTTGTCAGAGGCTGGGCTAGTTGTGCACACAGTCATTACAGGTCACTATAGCTTCATTGTCTTGGAGAGGTGGGCTGTCACTTTGCACGTGACACCAGCAGGGCTTGGTGGCAGCCTCATGACTCAAACTTTTCAGCAGTTGTTCTCTTGGGGACCATCATCAGGGTCCATTTCTGGAGGTCATATCCATTCTGGGGTATTTCATGGAGGCCAGTGAGTGAGTACCAGGCTTAGGGAAGCAGCATTTGTCCAGCCCCCAGCATCATACTTTTTCATCCAAGATAACAACGCTGGGCCCCCATGCCCATCCCTGGTCTGTGTCCATGGTTGGATAAGAGAAAAGGAAATAGCACAGCAGGACTGGCATGGGGGAAGCTAGCAAGATGTATCTGATACAATAGGCTTCCACCTGGACTGCCAGGAGAATGGATCTGAGTTGAAAATCTGTTGAAGCCCAGGTGACATCCTGAAGTGAAGATCCCAAAACCCTTGTTTAGCACAGCAGGTGGCTCTTGAGCACTGGGATAACAAGGTTGGAAGTGGGTTTTCTTGCTGGAGCAAATTTAGTGTCAGGGGCATAAACAAGAGGATGAAATGCTGTCTCTCTTGCTTTGTGCCAGTGTCCCAGCAAGACCACCAACCAGCCCCGCCGGCAGTATGGCACCACCAAGGACTACCCTGATGAGGTGCTGCACTTTGCCCGTGCTCACCCTCTGATGTACAAGCCTGTGTATCCAGTGCACCGCCAGCCTGTGCTGGTGAAAACCAACCTGCAACAACGGCTGCGTCAGATCGTGGTGGATCGGGTGGAAGCAGAGGATGGGCAGTATGATGTCATGTTCCTGGGGACAGGTGGGTCACAGTGAAAGAAGATTTCCTGGAGCCTTGGCAATGCCAGGCATTCTCTGCTACATCTCCCCAAGCATGTCCTCTCTGGGCCTTCCTTCTCTGGGTCGTTCAGCTGCTGCTCAGAGCACTTCTAATCAACATGGGGTTTAAAATGGTGGTAGAGGCCTATCTACACAAGGGCTGCCAACACTGCTATGTCTGGTAGGATTTAACCCGAGTGGGATAGCTGAATAGAGCAGAAATAGCCTCCTGGCTCTAAGGTCCATTTTGGAATAAAACTCATTTTTTCATTAATAATATTTCAGTTGGCAGCTTAGTAGCAACTCCAGATGCCGCTGACTGTACCTGGTTCCAGCTCTCATGATGGGGGAAAAAGGCGGCAGGATCTAGTGGTTAGGGGAGTTGGAAATCAGGTGAGATGAGTATAGACTTGACTACCATTAATCTGGCATATGGCCCTGAGTGAGTCATTTGATCCCCTTGTGCCCTTGTGATCCCACCAGAGCTCATTAAAAATTTTCAGCTGAACATTTTCCATCAAAAGAGTTTTAGGTCAGTTAAAACGAATTCCCATTAATTTTAGGCAAATTGTTTTGGTCAAAACAAACCCCAATCTAATGGAAAGTGTTTGAAAAGCCAGAATATTCCACTTTTACCTTCCTCAAACAAAGTGGTTTGATTTATTCAAATCAATGTGATTTGCTTCTAGAGTAGCTTCACTTCTATTTAAAAATCTCTTTAAGAAATTGAGGAGAATTAAAAAATGAAACATTTGATTCAACTCAAGAATGAATGTTTTGGATTTTCCCAAAACAGTGTGAAAAACAATGGGTGTCTTTACATGCTCTGGGGTGTCAGGGGGCACTTTAATTAAAGCGGCTCTCATTAAAGTGCCCCCAGTCTCATGTGCATTCAGCATCCTGTGCTTCAAAATGGTGGTTGGGGGTGCTTTAGCTAAAGCTCGTTCACTGCCATTTTGAAGTGCAGGGGCACTGTATGCATGTGATGTGGAGGTTGCTGGAGTATGCTAATTAGCACCCTTCAGCAGACTTGATTTAATTGAATCTGCTTTGACATGTGCTAATTAGCACACTTCAGGGCAGACGTCTGGCATGTGTATAGGTGCCCGTTCATTTTAGGTCAACCCAAAGCCATTTTTATTTCCAGTTTTTTGGTTTAGTCAGCAAACCGAAATCTCGGTTATTTGCACAGCTCAATGGATAAGACCCTGGATTATTCATAGGACAAACCTATGTACCAGTGTTAGACAGGACTTGTCACTATGAAAGCTACGGAACAGCATCGACTCACTGATTCAGAATATTTCCTTGAAACACTCTAGCAAGGAAGACGAATGGTAGGTTGCTCCCTTGCTGAGTTTAGGTCCTGACCTTTCTGGCATAGATCTACACTGCCGCTGTTTGGTGTTAGGCCCTGGACACTGACAGACAGTGAGGAATTTACTCATGCTTGCTGGTTGAAAGTAGATTTTTGGTTGAGGCAGGAAGATTGTCCTACTGGAGCAGGAATTGTCCCCTGTCCCCACTGCAGATGTTGTCAGGATACTGAAGAAAAGGGCTCATAGTAATGCTTTTGTTCTGCTCCCTTCCAGATGCTGGCTCCATTCTGAAGGTCATAGCCCTGCAGAAGGGAAACTTTGCAGCTGCTGAAGAAGTCATTCTGGAGGAGCTGCAGGTTTTTAAGGTGAAAAAAATGCACGTGTATGCATGTATGTATGTGTGCGTGTATGTGTAATATTGTGTGCTGCACATGGGAGAGCCCGTGCAGTTCTGTCTTGGTACACAGACACTTCCATGTGTCCCATATGACTGTACTGGAGGCAGGAGCATGTACGCTCAGGGAGGAATTAGCTACATGGATAAAACCTAGGCCAAGTCAGCGTATGCTGTAGGTGCAGTCTGTACTGGCATGTGCTCGGCATTTCTGTGCAGAGCATATGCTGGGTGACTGTTGCACGTAAAGCACGTACGGCTCTTAGTGTGCACATAAGCAGTGTGGCTAAATGCCTACAGAGCTAGTGGCTGGGGTTTCCCCCCCT